TACCTGCCGCTCTCACCGTTAATCCATATGCAGAATGATCACTTTATTTTTGAAATATATCCCTTATAACACTTTAATCCTATATGAATAGTTGCATTCTGATTGGACGAAATTATTCAATTCTACATTTTATAATAAGGGCATTTCATATTAAAAATTTCTAATAGCTGGAATGGGAAGTAATTTCTTATTGCAAATTGTAAAAAATAAAATACATAGTACAGTGGGTCAATACGGAAAAATGGATTCAGCAGTCTAGTTGGATATTGCATACCGATTTTTTTTATTTTGGAACCAAGTCAAACGATAGGTGCTAGTTTTCACTTTTTATTCTGTTTTTTTTTTCTAAAAAAGAAACAAATAATAGATATATTTTTTCTTTTTTTATGTTAGAACGAGGACTATGGTAGTATGATACTAGAGACGTATGATCGAAAATTTGAGCTTGGGCGAAATAGAACTTGATTTAGATCCAAACGAGACTGTAACGATAAGTACATTCAGTAGATCTAAATACACGCACTTGGAACCACACTTTAACAACGTGCACCTAGAGAATAATAAGAAAGGTGCATTTATAGAGGTCAAGTATATATTTGGGCCGGAATTTAAAGTATGCTTTTAGAGAAGGCGTGTACTTATAGAGGGCGCACTTGGAAAGGTCTGACTATATTAGTTTTTACTCTCGTTCTGTTTTTTTGTCATTTTGGATATGAACTAACAATTTCTTTTATCGGAGGTTTTAGATCTTTGACTTGTTGAAATGCGAGTTGGGATTTGAAGATCTAGATGCGGGTGAGAGACTATAATAATAAGTGTACAATCAGACCTCTCTAAGTGCACACCTTTAGGACTTTAACAACGTGCACTTAGGTATTAATAAGAAAAAGTGCATTTATAGAGGTTGTATATATATTTGGTTAAATGTACATTTAGAGAGGGCTTGCACTTATAGAGGTCTGACTGTATTAGCTTTTCACTCTTGTTCTGGTTTCACTTTTTTATTTATTTATTGATTTATTATTATTTTTTTTTTAATATGAACTAACGACTTTTGAATTAACAACTTTCATTTCTTCTCTTTGTAAGTCTTTAGGTTTTTGACTTGCTAGAGTGCGAATTGGAACTTGATCTAGATCTGGGCGACGATAAGTATCAACTTTTACTCTTGTTCTTGTTTTGCCTTTTATTTTTTTTATTTATTTTTTTTTCAATACAAACTAACAACTTCTTCAATTTCTTTTCTTCATAGATCTCTAGATCTTTGACTTGTTGGAATGCGAAGTTAAACTTGAGAATTTAGATCGGGGCAGGAAATTGTAACGATAAGTATAGTTTTACACTTGATCTGGTTTTATGTTTTTTTTTTTGTTTTGAATATGAACTAACGATTTTTTGATCTTTGTAGGTTTTTGTTTTGCTGGGATTGCAAAATAAGAACTTGATATTGGGATCTGGACGAAAAACTAAATGAAAATAACCATTAAAATAAAGTCATAACGTAGTCATTATACAACCAGATCTTTCTAAGCGCACGCCCTTGGGACCACACTATTACAACATGCACTTAGAGAATAATAGGAACAGGTGCATTTATAAAGGTCAAGTACGGTCAGATCTCTCTAAATGCACACCTCGGGATCATACTTCAACAATGTGCGTTTAAATAATAAGTGCATTTATAGAGGCCGTGTATATATTTAGGCCGGAATTTAGGTGTGCATTTAGAGAGGGCGTGCATTTATAAAGGGTGCACTTAGAGAGGTATGCTTTGTTATTCATTGAGATTAAGCGGTTTACTATTTTGGGGTTTATTTTTTTTCAAACTGAAAGCTAACACTTTTTTTTTTTACGGGTTTTTCTTTGTTAAATAGTTAGAATGTGACTTGGGCAAGTTGTTGATTTAATAGAATAGCAATTAGGATCTGTCGTTACAATATGCTGTAGATTTTTATAATTTCAAATGTAATATCGTTATCAATGTATTTTATTCATTCTTTTTTATTGAAGTAAAAAACAATACATTATTTATATATCGATATACAATACACAAATCTCAAATAATATGCTGTAACGTGCAACTATATACTATCCCCCCACAATAAACGTAGCTATTAATTATGATATCGCAAGATCTGTATCATGCAACTACAGTCAGACCTCTATAAGTGCACGCTCTCTATAGTCAGACCTCTCTAAGTGCACCCTTTATAAATGAGCGCCCTCTCTAAATGCACACTTAAATTCCGGCTTAAATATATACACGGCCCCTATAAATGCACTTATTATTTAAGTTACAGTAAAGTATGATCCTGAGGGTGTGCATTTAGAGAGGTCTGGCCGTACTTGACCTTTATGCACTTGTTCCTATTATTCTCTAAGTGCATGTTGTTACAGTTGGTCCCAAGGGCGTGCGCTTAGAAAGATCTGGCTGTATTATTACTTTATTTTAATGGCTATTTTCATTTAGTTTTTCGTCCAGATCCCAATATCAAGTTCTTATTTTGCAATCCCAGCAAAACAAAACCTACAAAGATAAAAAATCGTTAGTTCACATTCAAAACAAAAAAAAAAAATAAAACCAGATCAAGTGTAAAACTATACTTATCGTTACAATTTTCTAAATTCTCAATATTAACTTCGCATTCCAACAAGTCAAAGATCTAGAGACTTATGAAGAAAAGAAATTGAAGAAGTTGTTGGTTTATATTTAAAATAAATAAATAAATAAAGGCAAAACCAGAACAAGAGTAAAAGCTGATATTTATCGTTGCCTAGATCTAGATCAAGTTCCAATTCGCACTCCAGCAAGTCAAAAACCTAAAACCCTACAAAGAGATGAAATGAAAGTTGTTAGCTCATATCAAAAAAAAAAATAATAAATAAATAAATAAATAAATATTAGAGTTTCGATCAGGAGCCATTCGGATTAAATTCGGATCTTAGCATATCCGGATTATAATTCGAATTTGAGTAAATCCGAATTAAAATAACAATCCGAATTACCCTTGACCCACTGTTCCGTTTCGCTTAAAAACGAGATGTGAATAGAATACTAACCCGTTTGATCAATTTGAATCCAACAATTTATTATCCGGAATTTTTTCTTGCCCATCCTCTGCTCTGCTCAAAATGAGTTTCAAGAAGAAATAT